CCTGTAACTCTCACCCGCAGAGAGGAGGACAGAGGGTTCTTCCTTGTCCCCTGTAACTCTTACTGGCAGAGAGGAGGACAGAGGGTTCTTCCTTGTCCCCTGTAACTCTTACCGGCAGATAGGAGGGCAGAGGGTTCATCCTTGTCCCCTGTAACGCTCACCCACTGGCCTGGTTCCCCTTTCTACGGCCCCATAGAACAACTCTACCTTGCCTTTCGCGTGATAGGCCTTCGAATATTTCTGGACAGCTTTCTTATCTCTTTTAAGTTTTCTTCAAGCTACAAGTCCCCAGTACCTTATTCTCATGTAACTTAATTATATATTCTCTTACTGTTAGAGCTGGTTTATAAAATGCTGTATTTCTTGTTTTGCTTATAAATTGTTTTGTTCCTCCTTGACCTTTCCATGGAATTTGACAAGTGCTGTCCTTGGGACTTCTGTCAGCCTACCTCCTGGCTTCTCCTTCACCTCTATGACTGCTGCTCCCCCACCCCCACTATGAGCGTTGACCAAATCTCTGCCCTCGGCCACCTCCTCTTTTCTCTCAGCTCTCTTCCTGGTTATCGTACTCGTTCACGTGGCTTCACTTCTCATCTCTGTGTATCTGTAGCGTCAGTCCTGCCCTTTTCTTACAAATCCCAGGCCTACATTTTAAATTGCCAGCAGGACATCGTGTTTATCCAAAAAACAAAGATGTTGCCTTCTTTAAGCCAACCCTTCCTCCTCACCTCCTACAGGTTATAATGGTACCTTTGTCTTCGTGTCCATCTTGGGGTCTCCCACACCCCACCCTATCCCCAGCTCCCCATAGCAGCCAGAGAACCCTTCCTGCAGGGTCTGCAGATCCAGTCTCCCCGCAACTGCTCCCTCCGCCCAGGTTCTTCTCCCGTCTGTCTTCCAGAAACATCACTGTGAAAAATTAACTCCCTTGCTCAAAACAACTTCCACTGGGCTCCTGCCTCGTGGACCAGTGATGGCATCTCGGAGTACCATGTATGCCTCCTTTCCTTGTGGCCTTCTCACGCGCACCACGGCCACAGTGAGCACGTCTCCCGGCCCGGGAAGTCACCACCTTCACCTGCCGCAGCCCCTCCACCTCCTCAGGCTTCTTTCTCCTGCTGCCTCCCCCACGACGTCCCAGCTGGCTAGCCCTCGTCCTGAGGCCCCGAGCGCTTTGTTCTTCTTGTACTTACCTCTTCTGCCAAGATGGCACCTCTCCTTCACTCACGTCAGTTCCATAAACCCTGGTGAGCACCTCCAGTAGCTGTGAGCACCCACAGTGGCCGTGCCTGGTGCTGGTCACGGGGGCAAAGATGACTGAGACACTCTTCTGCCCTCGAGGAGCTCACAGTCTAGTATGTGCCATCCCCTACTAGACTGAGGCTCCTTGAGGACAGGGGTCGTCACACTCACCTCGGTGTCGCCTGCCCCTCCTGGCCCGGAGCCTGTGCACGGGGGACCTGCACTGAATGCCACCCCTGCTAGACTGCGGCTCCTTGAGGACAGGTCTACGCTCACCTCCTGGCCCGGAGCCTGTGCACAGGGGGACCCTCACTGAATGCCACCCCTGCTAGACTGCGGCTCCTTGAGGACAGGTCTACGCTCCTCCTGGCCCGGAGCCTGTGCACAGGTGGACCCTCACTGAATGCCACCCCTGCTAGACTGCGGCTCCTTGAGGACAGGTCTACGCTCACCTCCTGGCCCGGAGCCTGTGCACAGGGGGACCCTCACTAAATTAAGAGCTTAGGGTACATACACTGATTTTAACATTAACCTAAGGAAGTTTAAGGTAAATTAGCTCCAAACACTCCCCAAAGCGTATTTTTAGAATTAAATATAATTGGTTTTAAAGCGCACCTAGACAGCCATCTGTGGATATCTTCTTGTGTGCAGTCAGCACAGGCAGTTGAGCACTCATGTGTTCTGTAGGGTTCTGCTTCAGTCAGAAATGGAGTTTGACTTTGCATTTTGAACAAAATTTACAGTATGGCTACCAAGTGGGCCGATAAAATTTAACTTTATAACATAAGTAGGTTATTTTATTCAGTTTTTTAATTTTTATTTTAAAATCTCCAGTATTTTAAAGAAGAAATGAATGTTTCCCAAATCCCATTCTCCCTCTCTACCTTAGAAGAAAATACTGTAAAAAAAAATAATAATAATACTGTAAGTAGACTCGGATTACTGTGGGCTTTTTAACCAGGCCCTGTGCTCAGTTTAACTGTGAGTTGAGAGAAGTGGCTTTCACGATGCAGCTTGTTCAGCACAGTCATGGGAGAAGTGCCTGGTCACTCTTGGTGGGCTGATGGACGACTCAGGGAGCCTGTCCTTCTCGCACGCTGTGTCCTTGTCAGGTATGAATTCATTTAGAAGAAGAATTAGATTAACCCTTAGATCGCCTGTTACCAAGTGTACAACATTCCTCACCATGAATATTTTTAAAGTGATCACCTGTGATGCTTTCTCCAAATATGTACTTGCATTTCTGTGCTTTACAACTAGCAGGTAGTAAGAGTGCACTAAATATTTTTTGAGTGAAAAAAATAATCGTAAATCTCTGGTTAATTCACCTAATTCTTTCTTACACCAAGCAACCTGTGATGGTTAAGATTTTGTGTCAACTTGGCTGGACTATGATTCTCCGTGTTTTAATGTAATCACTCCCATGATTGAATATACTGTGAGGAGCCAGTCAGATGAAAGGGAGTCTTCTTGGGGAGACTGTATATAAGCAGACGTTCTGGCTTTTTGCTCTCTCTGGATCCTGCGGCTGCTTCCTGTCGTCTCATCTCCCGCTCTTGGGACTTGAGCTGTCAGCTTATCTGCCAAACCTGGGATTTGTCGATCTGCACAGCCTGTGAGTGGGAGCCCTGCTCTCTGACCTTCTGATCTCGGGCTTGCCAGCTTCTGCAGCTGTGTGATTTGGGAGAGGCCTCTACCCTGATCCACAGACTTGCGACATTCTAGCCTCTACAATTGCGTGAGCTGTTTCCTTGATATAATCTCTCTCTATATGTATATTTATACACTTTACTGGTTTTGCTTCTCTAGAGAACCCAGCCTAAGACACAACCCATGATAAATAGATTTGGAATTTGCCCTTTTGG